GGACTTCTGGCCACACTCAAACCTGTGTCAGGCACACGGTGAGATGTCTGCTGTCCTGTTGCTGGGTGTCTGTCTGCTGCAGAGCTGCTGGGGCAGGAAGGGCCATCACTGTCCTTAAATCCTGGTCCCCTGCAGGGCACTCCTGCTGTTGAGTAAAGCACTTGGTCTGCCTTCCCAGAGAGGTGCCTCCCTCATGGCTGAGGACACGGGAGGCATTTTGCCAGGCTCTCCTGCTGCTCAGCGAGGGTGGGGGAGGCCGGGACATGGGGGAACCCTGTTCCTGCTGCTGTTGGGAGAACAGGAGTACTCGCTTGCTCACCACTCCATGCAGCTGGGTTTAATTTTAGAAACACCATGCTATCTTGGGGCATCTTTTTCCATGGAATGCAAGTCTTTAAGTAAATAAATAACAGCTTTGTGAAGGCGGAACGATAGCCCGTAACTGCACTGCAAAACACGCACCGAGTGAGTTGAGCCCCATTTCACTTGCATGTGGAAATACTTTGTACAGAAACAGTGGCTGCACTGCCTCCTTCTCTTGGTTCAGCCCCCTCCAGAGCTGGCCATGTGCATTGATTAAAAAGAAATAAAACCACCTTGAAATACCAGCCTTGGAGAAGTGGAAATGAAAACCCCTCCAGCTGCTGGGGTTCAGCTGGAGTTCTCTGGCACAGGTTTCCTAAAGCTATGGTTTCCCGGTGATGGGCTATTACTGACTGTGCCTCTGCTGCATCTGGGACATCCCAGAGGGATGTGCTCTGGGGCATCCTTAGCAACCCAGGAGAGAAATAGCAGGCTATAAAAGATGGCAGGCAAGAAACTTGTGTTTAAATGCCCCTCCCCGTCTGGCTGGCCAAGAGCCTTCTGCATGCAGACATGTTGCTGATGGCTGAAGGTCCTGGGTGTGTCCCTCAAAGCATGTTTGCTGGCTGGAAAATCCCATTAAAGCCATTTTACCAGAGCAAGAGCCCATTTTCATTGCTCAGATCCAGCAGCTCTGACATGGCATCTGCTGCATGAGCTGCTGCTAACTTTGTTCCCCTGAGTCAGCAAGGGAGGATCTTCTAAAGCTCCTAGTCTGAGTAAGACTTGCCACGGTGGCCTTCCTCTGATGTAGGGACTTGGAGATGCACCTAAATACACAAGGTGGAACAAATGATGTAAAAATAACCCAGGCTGACAGCTACTTGCTCTGCTCCACTGTTGCTGCACATTGCTGCTGCTGGGACAAGACAGTGCTGAGATGACAGGATTCTGTGCTTGTAATGAAACTGGGTCAGGAGCACCCATCTTGGGTGCATTAGGAGTTGGCAGTGCTGATTCTGGTTGCCTCCACAAAGCCAAAAGGGTGGCTAGACTGTGCCTAATCATGGAGGTATGAGTGAGCTGTGCCAGGGTCTTTGAAACAAGTGGGCTTGAAGTCAGCAGCTGTGGCTTGGAAAAAGCATCATGTAGCATCCTGGTGCCTTGTGCAGATGGCATGCCTGAAGAGGTTTTGCTCGTCTTTCTCTTCTAAGATGAAAACTTACCTTGTCCTTCTTCCTATAGCTCTTCGCAAGAACACTTCTGGGCACGACTGTGATCGTTTTGTGTGTTTCTTCAGAGATGGATATAGTATTTTAATTCACTGCAGGGCCTGGGGATTACTAACTGTACATCAGCTTTTGCTGGTGGCTTCTCTTCCCAGCAGGCTATAGGGACAGGAGGGTTTTCCATGTGATGTGGTTCTGCCTCCTCTTCCTCTGCAAACTACCCAGCTAAGCCATGTCCTCTCCTTGGCCTCCTCCTGCTGCTTCCACTGATACTCTGAAGGGAATTTTATTTTTTTGTAAACCCTTGTGAAGGCCTTCTCTTGTGGGGCTGGGCAAGCTCTGCCCATGTTCTCTGTGAGCCCAGGATCAGGGCGGCCCTGGCAGCAGCTTGTCTTTTCCACTGATCCCAATTAAGATTCAGTCTTGGCAGGATGGAGCCTTTTGAGCTGCCAGCTGCAATAGGAGAGATGAGGCTTCAGGGGCAGCAGAAATTATTCCCTTCCCTCAGCTCAGCTCATTTCTTGGATCTGGGCTGAGGATGGCCCCAAGGGTTGATCTGCAGAAGCCAAATAAGCCACACAGAGCTAAAACATTTCCATTCAGCGTCAGGCCCAGGGTGGGGAAGTGTAGCTCTCTGAAGCGCTGAGACTGTGGGTGGCAGCTGGGGAGGGGATGGAGAGAGCGAGGGATGGATGGGTGGTGTAAATCCAGGCACTGCCTCACACAACAGCAGTTCCAGCCTTGCTGCAACTGTGCATGTGGGGAGCCTTGAGTGCCCAAATCACCCCGATAATGAAACCTGAGTTCATAAAGGCTGCAGTAGTGGCAGGTCAGGGCTGTGCAGCTGAACCCCTCTCCCAGCAGCAGATGCTGCCTGGTGTGACACTGCACAGCTTTGCTGGTGTTGACAGAGCTTTGCCACAACCTGCACCAGCAGGTAACCGGCCTAGGGCACTACCTATGGAGCAGCCGTGTATCTGATAGCCTGTGCTGTCTTCCAAGCATAATATTAACACAACTTTACAGCTGCCTGGCCCTCCTGCTATCTCCTCCTTTTCCTTCCCTACCTCCTGTCCCACTGCAGCCAAGCTGCCCTTGACTTTGCAAACACAAACTCTGCTTTTGCTGACCTTGCATCCTTTCAGCTGTGCACCCTGAAAGTATCAGGGGTAGAGTGTTTCTGTTAAACTTAATTTTAAATTCATGCAGGAAGAGCTTAGTAGTACTAAGAGTTCCTGGTTTTGAGCAGACTGGCCAGAATTTGTGATCATGCCCACTCTGCTGGAGTCATTGATGGAGTAATTTTCTCTGCTGCTAATTTGGAGTTCTGGAAGCAAACCTTAAGAAATCATGAAGTGTGAAACTTTTTCTGTGGAGCAAGTGTTGTGTGGATGGCACCTCAGAGAGCCAAGGGCAGTAGGCAGCTTGCCACAGCCGTGCCATTGCTGTTGGGTTGTGCACACGCAGCTGAGCAATGCCTGGTTTGTTGTGCTTCTCTGCTTGGAGGAAAGAGCAGTGTCATGGCATCCATCCCATCCCTTCCTGTGGACTTGCACTCAGCTGTACTTTACTGCTACTATTTTGGGTACCCTTTACTCTCCAAAGGAGGAAACAGGGTAAGTACAAAGATAGGGATGCTAACTGGAAGCTTTCTAAACGTGGCACTGGCAGGGAGCATGGAGGGACAGAGGAAGGTAGAGACAGCTGGATTTGTGTCTCAGCCACCCACTGTTTAAGCTTGCTGTTACCCAAAGTGAAAATCTGCTTTTATAACAGAGTGCACTGAGTTCACCCACAGCCCTTCAGGCACAGCCTGTGACAAAGGATTCAGCTTTTCATCCTGTGCCTTTCTGGCACCATGTCCGGCATATCAGGGTGTTGCCTGCCATCATCATGACTTTGGAGAGCTCCTCACATCCACTGGTTTTGAGACCTAAGTTGAGACTTTCACTTGAAATCTCAAAAACCTGAAAACCTGGCCAGGGCACTGCAACCAGCAATTCCCCCAACTGATTTCAGATTCCCTGAAATGCTGAGCTTCTCTTGGAGCGAGGCTCTGGTGCGTGGAGGGAGGTGAACTAACTGTGTTTCCATTTAACTAATTAGCAGCTGCGTCTTGGCCAATGCGCACACGATGCACCAGCCATTTTTCAGCTGTTCCAAGCCTGCCCGACTCTGCTGAGGCAGCCAGAGACGAGAACCAGCAAAGCGCCAAGGAAGGGGCAGGACCAAGGGCCAGATTCTGTTCAGCCAAATACCATGTAAAGCTGAGTAACAGGGAATTTACAGGGAATCACTGCAGGGGCTGGAAATGGCTAACAAAATTCATTGCTCTTTTTATTGTTCAGCTGTTGCTTTTAGAAACTAGTTTTGAGCAGTTCCCATTCAGAAAAAAAAAGTCCCTCCCTGAGGTATATCAAGCTGTCTTCCCCCCATGGCCCATTCTCCTTCCTGAAAGCACTGCTCTTTTCACATAGATTTAATCTCTTTAAGAATTCTTAATGACCAACTTGTGCCAGCTTCTCCTTATACGCTGCATCCAGTTTTTAATAGGACAGTGTGAGGGTGTAGTAACTAGTGTCAGGATGTGGGCATGAGGGAAAGCCAGGCTGAGATGCCCCAAAAGATTCAGCCTGGATTAGCAGTGAACAGATTGTAACACACAAATGGGCCAAGAGCTGGGACAGTTGAGTTTCCAGCAGGCAAAAGCTCTACTGTGTGCATTTTGAGGGTTGCCATGATCTGCAGTATTTGTATTTTGAGATGTGTTTGACATGCACAAAAGTGCAACTTGAACTCTTATGGCACCCTTCAAGAGAAGGAGGTGGTGGGCTTAGTGCTTTACTCTGTTTCTGCTCCTAGAAAAATAATGTGCTTATTTTAGGATTGACAGCATTTGGAATCTTAAAATCATTTAGGTTGGAAAAGACCTCTAAGGTCATTGATGCCTTCTTGCTAGCAGGAGAGCTTTCCAAGAGCTTTTCAAGTTCAGATGGATGAGAAGGGGAATTTCTCTTAAGGCTTATTCGTGATACAGAAGGGATGGACTTTTATACAGGCACTTCTCTGAACCTTGGTTTCAGTTGTGGTCACTCAGACTAGGAGGAAGAGTTCTGAAGGCCCCAGTTCTACAACAGAAAGCAGTGATGTTTTATACAGCCACTGGCTCAGAACAGGCATGTGGGAGAAGCTGGAATAATGACAAGAGATGATGAATTATGATGTTAAACCCACAGGATTGCACATTTTAAGAACAGCCAGGTTAAAATGAGTTTCTTTCAACAACAGCAAAAAAATTAGGTTCCTTATGGTAATAAGTTATTATGACTGATCCCTTGCTAATTGCTGACTAATCATGCAACTTGCAAAGCCTGCCTTGTTGCTTTTCCCAAGTAACTGTTCAGAGAAGCTTTTGGGTTAAAACATAAAGATAAATAAAAAGGATATTCTAAGTAATGCAAACCACACTCCATTGCAACTAATATTTATTAAAAATACAGTGGACAAAAAAAGCAAGCCTCCAAAAAGTAGTCATCAACATCATCAACATACACCCTGGCCCACCCAGCACCACGGAAACACAGAGTGCTCTCAATCCATTTCTCTCGCAAAATGTTGACTCATGTTTGGTTCATTACCTATAAATGTGCATAGTTTAAAGACTTGGTAATGTAACATGAGCATAAAATGGCACCAAAGTCAGTTTGCCCTGCACTTCCAGCCACTCTCAAACCAAGGAAGTAGTGAAATGTGCGTAAGTAGCGAGATGTGCATGGTGGTCATGCATGTGCTCAGTAGTCCCTGGTATTGCCCTGAGTCCTTTGTGTGAGCTTTGCAGCATGTCAGCAAACTTGAATCATATGCCCAAAGTATTGTTTTATTGCTACTGAGTACACAGAGTTTGTTTTTAATTTTCAGAATTAGCTAGAGCCTGGGGCAGGCCAGGAGGGCAGGGTGTGTTGTGTGTGGTGAGGGGAGGTAAGTGCTTGTATCAGTCAGTAGACTTCCACGTGTGCTTCCTTTTCCTGGCACTTTGTTTCCAAGCTGAGCTAAGGAAACTTTTGTGCTATGGGCACAGCAGTTCCATAGATGAATGCAATCTCTTGTATGTGCAGGATTGGGTGGGACTGTTGGTGTCAGTATGGCAGTGCTGGCTACACTCCTGGGAATGACAGGGAGTCAAGACTGTAATAATGCATGCAGATTGTCCTGGCTCTGGCCAGGACATGGGTAATTTTTGCGGAAGCCAAGAGAGGGCATGGCTAACAGCATGGGGGGTTATTATGGGGACCAGGGAAGGGGTCTCTTCCAGTAAGGGAGCGGTCACATAGTGCCTGTTCTCTCTATTATTGAAGGTGTTACTGCTCATTTTCTTATGCCATTGCTGTTTCCAGTACATTGTTCTTATCTGAACCCATGATCTTTATCTACTGTGCCTCCAAATTCTCCTCTCCAGCCTGCCATAGCAAAGGAGGAGTGAGAGAAAATGGAACACTAAATTGGGGAATACCATTCCTAAACCACATCATTAATGTACAAATGCTTATGGATTTTGGGCACCAAGAGTTCCAGATTTCTTTCCCTTTCAGCTACAGCTGCTATGTCTGTTGCTCTCTGCACCTTATCTCACAATGACAACAAACAAGAATCAAATCAATTCACCTGCAATGGAAAGAGTGCCTTTTGTTGTAGCTGGTGTACAAGATTTGTGAAGGATTTATAGCAAATCCTATTGCCTCCTCATCTGAGACCTGTGCTTACTTTACATGAGCAGGATGTGCATGGCAGTGTGGTGTGCTCACAGTACTTTAACCACTTAAGATGATTTTTGGTAGTGTCTTTGACCTTACTAGAATTGTCTTGAACCCTGTATGTATGGAGGGAGCACCCTGAATAATGTGCAGCTTCACATTAGCCATAAGCAACCAGTAACACCCTGTTTAGAGCACTTAAATTAACATTTGAAAAGCAGCCATTAATATTAACAAGAATGTTGAGTAATTTCTTTTCCAGGACAGTTAATTACCAAGGCTAATTAATGCTACATGACTGTGGCCACTGCTACATTTATGGGGACACTTAAGTGCTCCAAGGCCAGAAGACTTCATGAAAAGCAAATTAGAGAAACATGCAGGAAAACACTCTGGCAAAGGCAATAGTAACTACCTTCATTTTCCAAGTGGCCACTAGTATTAAAGTCTGTTTTATCTGTCAGAACTACACAGGTTGCTGGTTACTAGGAGCTGCACCATGGCATTAAAAATTTGTAATCTTCTAGAGCTTGGTGCAACATCTCCTTCTAAAGTCAGGGAGAGCTTAATACTTCTGTACATGGCAAAATTAATCCCTTAAGCATGCAAACAAGGCATCCATGTATTTCAGTGCTAAGGTCAAAATGCTGGAACATGCTTCTAACATTGTAAAACTTATCTTTCAGATCAGAAAAATAATTCTTCCACACCCAGAAATCCTCTTTCTGCACCATGTTTTACAGAGCACAAGGCAGAAAACTGGGCAGCTACCTTTTTTTTTTCTTTTGAAACTGATTATGTGGGTATTTCCCACTTGCCTGTGTCTATTACCAGGAAAGGCTGAGGGAGCTGGGTCTGTTCAGCATCCAGAAGAGATGACTGATGTCTCAATGTACATCAATGTCTAAGGGGGAGATGCCAAGATTATGGAGCCAGGCTCTTCTTGGTGGTGCTGAGCAATAGGACAAGAGGCAATGGACAGAAATCAATGCACAGGAAGTTCCACCTGAACTTTTTTACTCTGCAGGTGACTCAGCACTTGAAACAGATTGCTGAGAGAAGTTATGGAGACTCCCTCAAGGGAAATATTACAGTCTGGACACAACACTGTGCTCTGGGTGTCTTAGCAAGGGGAGGTTGGACCAGGTGACCCACTGTTGCCCTCTCCAACCTTAGCCATCCATTCTGGGATTCTCTGATTCTGTGAAGGGAAGCAGTAGCACTGCAAAGGGATGGGAGCTGCCCCTTGACTCCGACTGTTCCATGTTTATAATCTCTGCTGCATGGTGAAGTTCCCCAGCTGTGTTCTTCTCACTGTCACCCTCTAAATTCAATGAAGAAGGTCAGAGGAAAGACTGACAAACACAATTCTGAAATCTTAATCCTTCACTTAAAAATAGTTTTCAAATAACAGCACTTTCAGCAGTGGCTTAATTTCCAGAGCTCACAGTTGCATGGTGTGATGACAGCAGGTGTATTTCACAGCACAAAGGAAAAAAAAAAAAAACAAAACCAAAAAGCTCTGTGGTATAAGCAGGAATCTTTTCTCAATCTGATCATGAGGAGACTGAAATGGAGGTACTGGCAGAGTGGAGAAGTCTGTCCTCTAGAAAATACACATGGTTTTCAACAGGGATAAGTGGCTTCACTGTTCAAGTGAGCTGACAGAGTAAGGCAATGCTGGAGGCATGGGGTTGCTGTACTGTACACACTTGCAGAGGTCTTCAAGCCCAGCAGCTGAGCAAAAGGACTTCTGTAAGAGGCTGAACAGAAACAGTGGTCACTTGGAGGGCTGGAGGTATCTGAATATTATCTAGACCCTTGAGAAGTCTCCCCTCTGCCCACCTGTCTTACTAATCAACTTGAGCTCTTGGATGACGATGTCATGAGTGACTGCTTTGCACATGTCATACACGGTCAGCGCAGCCAGGCTGGCAGCTGTGAGAGCCTCCATCTCCACACCTGTCCTCCCCCAGGTGTGACAGGAGCTGCGAATCACCACTGCATGCCTGGCCTCATCCAGGCTCAGAGACACCTCAACGTGGTACAGAGGGATGTTGTGACACAATGGGATCAACTGGCTGGTCAGCTTGGCTCCCTGAATTCCTGCAATTTGGGCTACTGCCAGCACATCCCCTTTCTTCACCTGGTTTTGCTTCACCATCCCGAATGCCTTCTCACCCAGGAGAACCACGGCACCAGCAACAGCACTTCTTCTGGAATCTGGCTTCCCTCCAACATCAACCATTGTGGCCCGTCCTTCCTCATCTGTGTGAGTCAAGTTGTCAGAGGCACGAGGTACCCTGGTGCAAGATCCTGAATCCCTGGTATGGAATTCAGATCCTGAACATGCCTCTTTGGACTGACAATCCACAGGAACTTGGCCAACAGAAGCATCAAGGCACTTTGAATCAAATGTGGAGCTTGGGTCCTTCTGGAAGACACAGTAGCCTCGGAGTTGGGTTTGTAGAATTCCTGTTGCTATGTGCCATTGTTTCTCTGGGTGAGATCCTGGTAGGAAAATATGTCCTGTGAATTTATTTTTCATTGATGCTTTTCCATTTTGTTTGGGTAAACTTGCTCTCAAAGTCAGCCAATGGCTAAATGTGTGGCCCCACCGTTTTGAATTTGGGGAATTCTGTAGGGCATCCTGGCATAGTGGGAATGACATCAATGCAGGCTCTGGGGAAAAAAACAAAAAGTAAGATGAGAAGAACATCTTACTAACTGTAAAGCTAAACTGCCTGTAGCAGCTGAGAACCCTGTCAGAGAACTGCTTGGGACACATCTGTGTTGCAAAAACCTCAATAAGCCTGCAAACACCCACTTTTTTTCCCCTACCTCCTTCTCTTCTCTCTCATCAGTTCCCCACATTTCCTGGTTTGCTATTAAAAAAGACAAGACTCAGACTCATTTCAAGGTCCCTGACAAAAAGAAACAACTTAATTTCTAAATGTATCAACACCTTTTGAGAAACAGCATCCAAGAAAGCTTATAGGAGCGTCAGTTCTGAAGAAAAGTGAATCACAGCATCTCAGCATCCATTTGGGACCATCCCAGCACCAGCCTTCTTTCAAAAGCTTGGCAGGGTTAAGAGGAAATTTTTACACTCAGATTCTCAGTTCTGCCTTTTCAAACACCTCCCTCCCAGCACAGGCAGCTGCACTTCCTGCTTTCATCTCCTTCTGCAGGGAAGGGTCATGCCAGCACTTGAGGACAGCGGGACCAGAAGCACTGCAACTGCACTGTCTACAATCTCAGAGGGTGATGGGAACCTCTCGCATTATTGCCAGCTCTTAACACGTTAATGACAGCTGAAGTTTAAGCACTGGAAAAACCACAGTCCCCTCACTGACAGACAGATTTTAAATCTACTCAGAAGCATGTTCCAAGTTGAGCTGGCAGAGCTCCCAGCTGGCAGAGAGGTAGTAAGCCCTCCTGCCCCTTTCTGCCATTTAATCCTTTGGTTTTGGCATTTGCACTGGGCTAAATGCCAACTATGAAGACAGAAGGAGTCTCTTTCACATAAAAGTGAATAAAATGTTTTGTAAGTAAAGAAAGCAGTATAGAGGTAAGTGGCTAAGCCCTGGTCTAACAGCACCACTCATAAGCATGTTTCTCTTTTTCTGAAGAAATGTGGCATTAGGCTGTGCTCAATAACCTCCTTTGGAAGCTCTGGTATTCAAGGACTCCCTTTTCAACCTATCCACAGGTGCATCAAAGCAGCTTCCTGCCCCTCTGCACATTGCTGAGCTACCTCTGCTGCCCAGGGACTGTCCACATGACAGTAATAGACACAGTGTGGACTAAGTCTAACTGTGCTCCTCCACCTTTTTTAAAAAGAAACTCACCAAACTCTTCCTTGTTAGTTGCAGCCTCTGCTAAAACAAGACTGATGCACTTAGCACCATTGTCATCAAGAGTACCCTCCAAACATTGGTCTGAAAGTACCATTCCTGAAGCTTAAAATCAACCACAGATTTCACTATTATAGTCACTGCAATAACTTAAATTCAGGCAAAGGCCTTTTTTCATCTACAGCTGATGGCTTATAAGCAAGATTCCTGCAAGTCTGAAGGCATGTGTTTACCTCAGAGAAATGGGATTAAATGGACATAAATGTGCTGAGTGAAACATTTCTCTGCTTTAGAAGAGCATAGAAAATAATTTTCTTATTCTTCTTCTCTTGCTCTCTCTTTCCATAGTGGGGCCTAACCTGAATATTCCTTTTCAAATCCAGGAACTCAAAACACTCTGTTCTTCTGGACTCCTTGATAAGCTTCAAAGCTGACACTAAACCCTTGTGAAAGTGTCTTGTTTTCAGGAGAAGCCAGGCTGCAAAGGCAGACAAGTACTTCCTTCCACAGGGTAAACACACATGGGTGGGAGCAGGGAGAAAAGTTTGCTCAAGTAAAGTGGGAAATAAACAGACTGCAAGAGACAGTAATGAGGGCAAATCATCTTCGCTTTTCTGAGCAGCCTATACTTCTTGAAGTTCTCTATCTAGTCATCTCTATTTGCAACCAAATTGCTCATATACCTACAGAAAAAAAAAGTAATAGTTTTCTACTGCACCATATACTGAAACCTGATTAATTCCATCTCCTTATATACTATTACTGCAACTCAAGTTTAATTGTGTCAGCTTCCAACTAGGACAATCTCAGGGGGAGAAAGAAGGCAGAAATACTTAAACTAATGAGGAAATTCCCATAACTGAAGTGAACCCAGGAGAAAAAGAACCTGCTGAAAGGAATATTTTGATTAAGGGAAATAAGATACAAACCATATAGCAAAAGATTAGACAACAGCGGTGCAGAGAAGACGCCAGGTTTGGCTCACTGCATCTAGCAAAACCAATTAGTGATTTCCACAGCAGTCATTAAATTTCATTAAATTAATTCCATACACACACTCCCCCACTGACTGCTTGCACGCCAGCATTATTTGAAGTTTGTAACTAACTCAAAACACAATTAGGAAATCTCCTAATGATTCCCCATGTGACACAGTGGGATACTCTCCACTCATCTCCAGTCTCTCCACTGATGCAGTGACTGCCAGCAGTCAGTCTCAAAGGGAGATGGAACAGCTGAAGGAGGAGGACCTGGACAGGCTGCCTCTTTCACTGCATGTAAGACAATGCAAAAGCACTTTTCAAAAGGAAGTTGGATTGTTCTGATCTGTAGACATCCAAACATTGCTATGAATGCTAACTTTGGAGTATGGGAATTCTTTCAAAGAGAATTTGAAAAATTATGTAGGTCCCAGTGAGCTGTCAAGAGTTTAATAAAGCATTTTTCATCTTAAAAAAATAAAACAACAAAATTTTTCCTCATGCATCAAGTCAATATACACTTTAAACAAAGGGTCCTCCTTACCCTTTTTCTAGAACACAATGAAGCAGTGGCCATATACGAGCAAGCAAAGGCACAATTTTGCACCAGCCAACAGGGAAAACTATGGCTCTTTAAAGTGAGGCACCAAGTGAAAAAACATTCCCAGTGAAGACCTATGTTAAAGATCTCTGTGGATCCTATATCCTAATAATGGCAACATAAGTACAAGCCTTGGGGGCTTGGTTTAAAAAAAGAGTAGTTGCTATTATAGTATCACCTGCTGCAAAGATTTGCAAATTAATGCATGCTCCCCTCCTCCAGAGTACCTGTTTTAAAACCTGTGTTTTAAGCTGCCCAGCAGCTAACCTGCTCCAAAACACCAATGGGAGGATAAGTTTAGATTTGAAATGTAATATTCATGTCTTTCACCCTTGTTTGTTTTTTTCCCCACACCTTGTTGATAAGGAACAATGACATCTTGCAATTAAGCTCACAAAGCTAACTCTTGTAACCATTTCTTAAGGTTTTGAAAGACAGCTCTTAAAGAAGAGGTAAACATAGGCATGGACAAGGTAAAATCACACTGAAGGAGATGTTAAAAATCAGTAAGAGAAACACAGCAGTGCTACATCACTCATGAACAGAGCTTCAAGCAGAAGGGAGAGTTAGCAAACAGCTTCAATAGACACTAGAAGGAAAGGAAAGGCTCTTGGTTCATAGGTCTTTGATGATTATGTTCTGAGATTTTGCAGCAATAAGAGGCAATTTTAAAAGAATGAAGCCCCCCATGTCAGATTCTGAAGTAGCAGTGAGGTAGGAACACTTGCACTTCTGTCAGCTTGATGGCTCTATGTATGTTATAAACAAAGCTGAATTTCTTAATCCATGGACAAACTCCATTCTGCATCCTTTATATTTATAGAGCAATACAGTCAAGACTCACCTCAAACTGTCTTGTAAGTAACTACACTGTTTTACTTAAATACAAAGAAAGATGGTAGGAAGGCTGATTACCCCTTTGGAAAATGCAATGAAGTGTCTTAATTAGGGCAGACAAAACCAGGACTGTCAATTGGAAAACCAGGTAAGGCTCAGTAGGGACACTAAACCTTTCCTCCTCCTCCACTTCAGCATGTTAACTATAACTGGCTAATTAAGAAGCCTTTTCTTTGCCTAAACCTAGGGCAGAACCAAAAGCTAGACTCAGAAGCCAAATTTTCTCTGTTCCCCCAAAGACAGAAACCCAACAAAATCACTGTATGTTTTTTACGTACTGATTTGTCACCCACCAATCAGGACCATTGGCCGGTTTTTCATCCGGGAAATGTTAAACATGCCTAGAAATAAAATAAGGAACACATAAGAATCCCAGCTTTCTAGGCTTTAAGTCATGCATCTGGTTTACATGTTCAGTTTTCTGCTCTTCAGAGTGCAACCTGCATACTAGGAAAAACACAGCTCAGGAAAGACCAAGGGAACCAGAGGAAGGGGAATCCAGCACGGTATAATTTAAAACTATTATCTGCCTGAGTCTCCAGGCATCCAGCTGCTGTGGGTCTAACACACGAAAGAACTCTTTCCAAGAAAGCTTGCCTTAATATGAATTACAGACTACCTACTACAGAATTCAATCTATTTGAGACTATCTTGTCTGTAACAGCATTTCTCTGCTCTAGTTCCATAGATAAGCTGTTAATAAGTGTTCCTGTTCAAAGAAGTTCAATCACAGAAAGCCCCAGGGACAATAATGAGATTAACACAAACCGAGAGAAGATAATGTCAGGCAAATGCTGATGATGGTAAAATGACTTTAATAGACTCTTCCCCATCCACTCCCTCCTCTCCCAAACCAGAATTCATAAATAAACGGTCTACAAATAAAGGAACAAATCCCTTCCCCTTTCCTTACGTTTATAAGGCACTATTTTATCTGGGTAAGACCAATGTCCTTTGGAAGTTAGTCTACGCTTAGATTTAAAAGCTACCTTTAAATTTGTTTCACACATTAGGAGAAAAGGGAAAAACCTACTGCTATTAATCTGTCAGAATCTGCAAGAAAACAAAAGGGCCAAAGCATATTTTTAGTGTACAGGGGACTAATCCATGATTATAAAACCAGTCCATGTACAAAAGGTCAGCATTCCCAGCTGGAGCCAGATTACAAAAATTCAGGTTCAGATGTTAATGTTTATATTAATATAAATTCAGAAAAGACAAATGTAGCCTGAGAATGTGACATCATGGACCTTGAGTCACAACCTTATGCAGAGCACTAGATGAGTACCCAAAAAGTCCTGAATGGTGGCCAAGAGATTTGTCACTTCTAGAAACATGTTAATGCAGTACTTAGATCGACAGCTCAATTTAGTCCTTCTTTTACAGTAAACTAATAAAAAAAAGGGATCCAATGCAACTACTTAGCTTTGCACTTCGCTGTTGCTCTTATGAGCAGTGGTATTCACATATATTTGAGAGCAGAAGTCAGTCCAAAAGTCATTCAGACAGTTTGGATTCTAACTCTCATGGAAGGTTACAAGTACCAGGACATTGTTTTCCCTATCACTGCTGTTATTTCTCAACAAAGTATAAAAAAACATACCAGCATGCTGTTTCTTTTTTCTGCCCACTGCTGCTCCGATAATTTGAATCAACTCCTCCTCTGAAGCACCCGACCGTAGGTGATCCCTCAAGGACACTTCTGAATTCCCAAAAAGGCACACCTGCAGCCAACCCGGGGAAGCAGAGGAGGAGAAATGAGAAAGAATAAAATAAATTACTTTTACAAGTATTTTGTACTAACTGCAGAGTGAAGAGCTTTGAAGAAGCATACCCTGTTAAGGGAACATTTATGGAGATTGTTTTCTTTATCTCTCATGTACACAAAGACAGCCTGGGATGTTTATGCAGCCCAGGCTCATTGGACCTTCAGGCTGCCTCGGTCATCCGATGTCAGGCAGCAGCACAGCTGTTGTCAATATCAGGTGACAATGCATAAGTGCCAATTTTTAATTGAAAACTTTAATTTTCCCCCAGAAACTGCCAGTTTCAACGTGGCAGGAAATGGTTATCCCTCCTTGTTCTACAGCCATTGAGCAAATGTACAGGCTGCTCTTGAAGAAAAAGAGCTACAAGTTGTTTGGGAAACAAGACAAGATCCTTGTGGAATGCAAAAGCCAAGCCCTCACAGCTGCTTGGACCCTTTTTTAATGAGAAATCATCTGCTCATCACATGGTTAAGATGATTTTGAATCAAAGATTAGAATAAATGTTTATATTTACTGGTCTTGCAACCATGTTTTACAACTGAAGTTAACTATGTTAGGAAAACAGAGAAACCAAAAAAAAGGTGATGTAACATCTCCCTAAGAGCCTGACAAGATGGAACAAGAATTCATACAGAATAAATAAACAGGAGCTAGCTGGTAATAATTATGCATCTTTACATCCCAGCTACTTTTAGGGCACGAATTTCAACACTATTTTCCCTGCATGAACTGGAAAAGAATCCTGCTTCACTACCAACCTTTAGGTTCCCATCTGCTGTTATCCTCAGCCGATTGCAGGATCCACAGAAGTGCTCAGACATGGAGGTGATAAAGCTGATTTGTCCCTGGAAATGTGGCACCTTGTAACTCTACAGAAACACAGAAGAGAAAAAAAAAAAAAGAGTCAAATACAGACTCCTAGCTTTTATAGCTCCACTTGCCTAAAGACCAGAAAATCTTTTTTAACATAGATTTTCTTCAACCCTAAGATCCTATCAAAGAAAAAATAAAAGTCAGTTTTTTCAGGAGTCCCAGTTTATTCTGCCCCGTTCCTAGAAATCTCATACTTGTTAAATGTTTGCTCCTGTAGTTATCAACTAACAGGTGATGCCTCTAGGAGCATGAGCTAGAAATTCCCCATTTGGCACTTTAAAACAATAGTTTTTTCACTGAGCAACTCTTCCATCAGGATTGTTAATGTGCAGACATAGACTGACAAAAGTTTCAAAAGCTGCAAATAAAGGACACAGGCCTGGCATTCTTTATATTTGACTAAAAATACATCTAGAAAACACATTGTATTTATAAAGGTACAGACTATGACTAGGACTTCATAAGATCAAGTCTCCTGCAGGCAGCTTGACCAAAACTTACGAGTTACCACACTGAGTATTTATTACTTTGGTTGTCAAATATCAATGCTGAACTTGGAATAATTTGGGGATTTGGGGCAGGGAAGGAATAAGGGCATGTTTCACACATTCTTTGTCCAACCCCACCTTGGCTGTGCTGGAAGTCTCACAGGGTAATTTCTCCAATTCCGGCCATCGCTGTTTAATTGTATCAAGCATTTCTTTGTAGCTCACCATCTTCTTGAAGTTCCATTTATTGCCTAGAATTAACAAAACCAGCCTAACCTTAGACTGTGGACTTTATTTTCTTAATTAGTAGAGAACCACCTTCACATTCTCTATAAGTGTCACTTAAGGTGACACTCAGGTGTCCCAGCCCCAACGAGTCTTCTACACGTTATGGAGGGAAGAAGCTAACCTGCAAAAAGCTTCAGACAATTCCTAATTCCCTTGAAGAGCTTACCAAAACTTCCAGAGGCAAACCTATGGGATGAACATCTACCAGCCAGCTCACCTGTGTCCAAGAAGAATCTCAAAGCTGCAGTACTTACCATCAAAGGGCATGTATTCTATGAACCGCACGTCAAGGGGCAGATCCTTTGTGAAATCCACAAAGTCCAGCACTTCATCCTCATTGAAGCCTCGCATCACCACACAGTTCACCTGCAGGTAAAGCACACACCTGAAATCAGTGAACAGAGTGTGACCTGCACCCCCAGCTGCACAAGGAGATGACATGAATTCTCCTCATCACTTCTTGATGAGATCTTCAAGTTTTTCTCCAGTTTTACTAAAAATTATTCACAGAGTGGGGTGGGAGGTGAGATGGAATACAATAAATTCCTCATCAGGTGATTGGTATGTATGGTAAAACAAAAGAGTTTCAGAGTAAATAACACTGTCTTTACCTTAACAGGATGGTAGCCAAGTTCAGTGGCTTTGTGGATTCCTTCCATTACCTTGTGAAAGCCTAAGATACAAAAAGAGTGAAAAATAATTTTTATTGTTTCAAAGCAGAATGCAAAAGGTGGTTATTTAGTACAAGACAAAGGGATGACAAAAATCAATCTGATTCAGTAGACAGGGCTGAAAGTAAGAACACCTGCAAAAAAAGACTTTAATTATACCCCTCCCTCACAACCCTCAAAGACTACCAAGTTACTATAATCATGTCATTGAGATCAATATTTAACTGATATTTGAGTAATCAACAATACTGGTATGATTTTTTTATATCTTTAGATATCCACATATTATTAGCATAAGATTCTGCACTCCCCTTTAAGACAGCTTTCCTTGTGTTACATTCTTCTTAAAGGGAGTGGAAAGAATTTATGAACTGTCTCCAGATGCACTAAAGAAGGAATAATAAATTAATGTTTATTTTATAGTAATGGCTTGTGTCTTTTCTACAATGACAGAATTTCTCTGTTCCGAATCAGACAGCAATGTTGCTAAGTGAATTTTAAAAGCATTTTTTTAAAGTACATTTGGGATGCAATGGGTTTAGGAACAACAAAAAGCCCCTTGATTCCCTGTTCAACCTTGGCTACAGATGTAATTGGCTTCCCAAAGCTACTGACTATCCATTAGTCAGAAGATCAGAGGCAGCATTTTTCAGGATCATCATTTTTATGACTAAACACAGGAAATTAGTGAACAAAATGTGGCAGGGATTAGAGCATTTAGGAAAGCAATTCAATTGGCCTTTGACCCTTGAAAACAAAGATAAAAAACTACAGTAACTTCAAGGAATGAAGTACCCAGTTTCATCCTACCATTTGGTGTGGCCTACACCTGCCAGCTGCTCTCAAACAGAAATATATATAGTTAATTTAGGGCAAGCGTCTTTGCCCCTACATGTACCTCTTAAAGCTGAAAGAAACTAACAATGCATTTTCAGAATTTCAAGGTCACTTAAGAAAGCCTTTTAACAATCTCATTCAAACCCCCTCTTCTGTGTACTTTCTTTAAAGTTAAGACCTTTCATCAGGACATCCATTCCATATTTTGTGTATTATTCCCTCCCTGCCACACCCAGCAGCTGGCAGAGAACAGAGGTGAGAAGAATGAGACAGCAAATTCCCGATCTCTGGGCACACATTTCTGGTGAGTGGGGTGCTGAGCTGCTCACCCCATGTTTGTGACTGCCTCTTCCACCCTGGCAGGTTCTAGACTAAGTTTCAATCTGCACATGAAACTCAGATATGAGAGACCCAACAGTACATGAGACTGAGCTCCTTCTTCCAAAGCTGTCATCTTCAACAGCAAATGCTTTATATGTGCTAATAAAAGGGCAGTATGTCTCAGAAATTTTGATGACAATCCCCATGCTGCTCCTTGTCCTATATTTTTCTGCACAGGTCCATCACCCTTCCCTTTCCTTATCTATGATTTACTGGAAACTCAGATTCCCTAGGGAACAGGTCATACCTTCATTACTCTGTAGGTGCTTTAGCAGATCCAAGCAGTAACTCAGTAGTATTCTGTGCATATTTAATATGGGATGCATCAGTAAAAAAGAAAACTAAAGAGACAAAAAATTCACTTCACTGCTCTCTGGCTAGTAAAGGCATCATAAAGCATGGACATAGGAAAGCAGAAGATACAATTATTTAATAAACCAGTTCTAATCCTAATCCTGGCTGCAAAAGTGGTGAACAGCAATGTTACTTGACACACTGAAATACCTCTTGCAAACAACTGTTTGCAGTTATGGCCTGTCACCCTTCTCAATCACCACCTACTTGTGCATATGCCCAGGAAGTTTCCAGCACCTGTGGTAGATCTCATTCCAATTAAGCAAGATTGCAGGCAGATTATGGCAACAGAGATAACGATATACTGCTGTAAACACAAGCCAGAGCCATAAATGGGATCAAAATCTCTGCTACTGCTCAGAAGATCTAATCTGTAACCACAGGATTATAGAAAGGAGAAACTCAATGTAACTAAAAAAGGCCAGGAAGAAACCACTTCTCCTCTTTTACCCAATGAAAAATTTCAATACTTTCATCATATTTGATTTCTTCTGAAGTCAGAACTTTAGCCAGCTTTATAGTACAGAGAACCTTAGAGCCACCCAGAAAAATCTTATATGGAACAAAACCTCCCATCAGTTAATCTTTACAGGAAAAAAGGCTTCAGGCCTACATTTAATGATACAATACAGCAGTACCTCACTTTCCTTGTATGAAACACATAAAAAAAAAGGACAGGCCATGAAACAGGTTAGACTGGCTACCTGCATGAAAGCATTCTTATTTGTTCATCCCTTAGAATGTGGTAGATTGGAAAAAGTAGAAAGATTACAGTACTCTAAAATGCTTTCACACATCAGTGAAATCTCTGATGATCTCACAGCCATTCTGTCTATCCCAACCATCTGCAAGTAGGAGCAGATGTGATGCAGGGCACCTGCAACAAAGATACACATTTTCTGCATCTTCTTAAAACTCTACATCAACTTTCCAGCAAAAGAGAGAAATTATTCCCAGTTTCTCAAGTTCCTGGTAAGCTCCATAATCAGATGCCACCTTTACTTTCCAGAGAAGTTATCAGCCAAGACCAGGGATCCCTCTCACCTTAACAGAGCTAAAACTTGTTGCCTCTGGAACTGCCATAGGAGACAGGGTAACTCAGTAGGGCAGGCACTCTATTCTCTGCTCACTCCATACTTGGAAATCTCCTATTAAATAAAAACCCTCAAAAAAAAAAAAAAGGCATTTTATATAATTTCAGCCTTTAACCTTAACAAAAGAAAGAAAAGGGAAAAAAACCCCAAAGCAATAGAATTCACTGTTACTATTTTTACCTGATCTCTGCTTGCAAAAAATATCTATGATTTAGGGACTTTTTCTCCTTTTAAAAAATATTTAGTAACAGAAATTTCCCTGTTCATTGTCCATGCTGTTCAGTTGAGCAATTTCTCTCTTAGTTGGTAAAAGACCTTTTTCTCTTTAAAGGCAGAAAAGGACATTTATATAAATAAAATTACCTTCATGCCCTAATAACTTTTAGTTTACTTTATAGGCAGCACATTCCTAACAGCTTCTAATCAGATATGAAGATCTCTGGCCTTTAATTCAGGAAGCTAGAGGCTCAGGTTTACCCCTTCAGTGGCAAAAGAAGGGCTTGCTCCTAATGAATGTCACAAACCATGTAATACTCAAACAGAGAGCAGAAGGAAAGAGCACAGTCAACACCAGCTTGTGATTAGTTACTCCTGGATACCACTCTGGGAGCCAACTGTGCCATGACACAACCGGATCAAAGAAACAGCCTACACTGGAAGGATAATGCTCCAGCCCGCTTTGTGACAGAAACTGATTTCTGCACCATAACACAGAAACATGAAGTAGTGCTCCCACAGACTGTTGACAAGGACACCTGTTGGGAATTTGGCTGGCTAAAGACTGGAAAAGTACAAAACCGTGGCTAATTCCAACTCCTGAACCTGCAAAGATAGTGTGACCTTGGGCCTAGCTGTAGTAGGATAACAAACAGTGAAAGAGACATGAGAAAAGAGAGGTTTAACCCCTAAGGAATGAGGAAGAGTTCATGGTATAGTTTAACCAATAGATTGCTTGGCTTACAGAATATTCATAAGCTTATTATTTGCTGTATAAGTGTTTGATACTTTCTTCAATAAACTGGACCTGTGATGAACCACCTGGTGTCCTGGTCCCCTTCCGACGATAGACACCTTCCTGCACCTGCCAGCAGAACTTCAGTTTACTAGCAGCGATTCAAATGCTGACTTTACTTCCCACAGCATTCCAGATTTCTACAATCCTTTCCCTACATGTGCCTGAGGCTGTTGCACCATCTGGTGGCTACTTAGAGGTTTTGTCAGAATTAGAAGTTCACACACTGCTGAAGTTACAGGGCTGGACAGGAAGAGAATGATACAACATCAAATCAGTTTTCGTTTGGAAGGAAGCCCAACCATGAAGCTGAGCTCCATCAGCTTTAAGATTCATTTAAACCAGAATCTGTAAGACTGGGCATATCCAAGTGTTTCTCAAATTCTACTTGCAATTACTTGCTCAGTAGGAGAGAAGTTACAAAGCCAACAGACCTCCTCAAATTACCTCAGGCATGGTTTATGTTTATTCCTATTAAAAAGAAGTGGATACAGAACATCACTAACCACAAGTGAGACCACTGCTAGCACACCCCAAATATAACTTCCAGAAACTGCCACTTTTCACGACATGAAGTTCAGTTCTTGTGGCATCTTTGTCCCCACGTGGTATAGCAGAAACATCTGGGTTTTTTGAACAGTATAAAAGAAGAGCACTACACAAGACCAACATAAGATTTGGAGAGTCCTCTTGAGAGCTATGACTAACCAATTATAGACTATATGACTAACCACATGACTAACTGTGGTAAATTGAGCATCTTCCACTTCACCAGCTCCAACGAAAAAGGCTCTACCTGCTAAGCATTACAGAAAGGAGGAAAAACAGTCACTGTTGAATAATCTAGTATAGACTATTTTTCCTACCCTCAGAAGGATAGCAATTCACTTTCCCCCCAAAGTAACTAACTGTGAAAGATATAGTAAGCAACTCAGGACATTCCTGCCAGCATTAACACAGTTGCCTTAGAAGACAAGTTTGTACCTTTCCTTCGGACAATGAACTCAAATTTAGCTGGCACCAAAGTATCCAGGCTAATGTTAATGGCATTCAGTCCTGCTTCCTTCAGCCGGGGCAGCAGTCTGGTTAAATTGATCCCATTGGTTGTGACAGCAATGGTTTTCAGCCCTTCCAGTTTGTACAGTTCACCTAGGAAAGAAAAGTAAAAAGAACACTTTAAAAAGTAGTTAAACTAAAATGTTTACAGGTTACACAGAAAACCCAAAAGATTTTTGAAACAAAGAAAAATGTATCACTCAATGTGTGAAGAATATGTGGACACTTAGTGCTTCAGCCTTCTTCCAGTTGTATTGGTTTAAGAGACCAATTTTAGCACATACCCATTTCAAAAGATATGAGAGAACAGTTTATTGCAAGCGAAACTGGTGGTAAAGTTTTGTTTTATTAACATGCACACTAGTTTTGTTCCTAATTTCTTAAATACCTACTTTATTGTTAAAAGACAGCCCCTGATTTTGTGTACTTTCTTTTCCTCATCCACCTTTGCAAACTGAATTTTATGTTCTGCAATAATAATAAGCAGCAAGCCATCCCTTTCACAACTGACACCTGATCTGTTTATTTGGCAACTTCTATCCTACAATGCTTTACCAAAAACCAGCTCTAACCCAGAGGTAGCTGCCAGCAGAAGTTTAAACTTATGAAAGAAATACCACATGCAGTCCTAACTAAACAGAAAAAGGTCAACATACTAGACTATTACAGAGAATCCAAGGCAACAACATCCAAAGGGACAAAACATTTGTACTTGACAACTGAAATATTTCCATTACCAGTGGTAGCCCGGCCGACTGGAGAGGGCTTACGCAAGACACTAAAAATGGCTAACAAAAGAAAACAGCATAAGAAAAAGCTAATATCATGAGATTAAGATTTAGAAAAGAAATGCCTCCTCATAAGCCAAATGCAGAAATCCTCAGCATACCAGATATCCAGAGATCAAGCTTTCAAACCTCCAGTTATCAGTACAATAACAAACAAGAAAAAAACCCTCATAAACAACTCGCAGAAGCAGAGCCACAGCAAAATAATTTACTTTGGTTTTCCCTCCCTCCCTCCCTCCCTCCCTCATAACCTCCACCCTAATTATTTAAGAAATATTTGAAGAACCCTTACTCTTGAGACAGCTGTAATTACAGCACAAATATTTCATAGTCCCTTCGTCCCTCACTATTTTACTTCTATTTATTCAAGTTGATAAGGGCCTTATTTCTGCTTTATCTCATTGCCTAGCTCTTTTCAAAATATTCACCCTAAGCCAAGTCCAGAACACTGGAATGGGTCAAGCTAGGTCATAGCAAAGATGCTGAAGTTTACAGCAGCAGCATTTTGGAACATGATTAGGAGTTCCATAAAGACATGAGGTTGTAGGGAAAGAGTAATCTTTACTAAGAGAGATGTTTTTCCTGACCTTCAGCTCTCAAAGTTCTCCCAAATGACCAAGAATAATCTCTTCCTAGAGGGTAAGTGCTAGTGGCTCAATTTTGCCAAAGATTATTGAACACTAGCTATCACTAGCAGCCTAATCTTTGTGAGAGTAAAGGATACATGCTACAGCCAGAGAATAGTTTGGGAACATCATTACTTTTATTTATAGCCTCAGAACACACAAAATGCTCAACCTCAGAATGACTGGGAAAAAAAGTCTAGGTGCCATACAGGTTTCATTGCTAGAAATGTAAATTATACATTTACAAATATATAAAATATTATAAATAAATATTTATTATAAATAAATAAAATATACAAAATAAATGCTTAAAGGCATTGAATAAAACTATGTCATTCTGCAGCCTAAAATGGAAAAAAATTAAGAAGCAGCACTAGTTGATCAGATCACCACAGGCAGCAGCTGATGTCCATGCATCTTTTTCCTCATCAGACAGGGTGAGATACAGGATAAGGCACTGGAAACACACTAATACATGGAATCAACTGCAGTAACAAGCTGAACAGTAGACAACTGTGAGAAGTTAGAGATGGAGGCTTAACACCAACATCAATAAGTTAAAAAGGACCAGTGAGAACACTCTACCAGGTGTAACCTTCACAGGGTCTTGGCTTCTTGGCTTGTTGACCTCTAAAATTAAAAGGGATTAAAGAGACTTCATAACTCTGTAACTCTCTTTGTACCTGTATTAAACCTGTTTGCTGACCTTTGGTCACTGCCTTATCAACAATCAGCACAAGCAAAGGCAACTGACAAAAACTAACAAGTAGAAAAGGAAACAGAACAGATGCTGTAAGTCCATAGCATGAAGTGAAAACTTTTATGTCAAGCTTGAGCCATGAAATAAACCAATTGACATTTATGTTTTCCTTTAGGATATGGAGCCTCTTCTTAAATAGACAATTTTCTTACATATTCTCCTCCAATCATTTCCTTAACTGCACTTGTCCCAATTGACTCCAGAAAAGGTGTGCATGCTTCCTAGCACATGAACTAAGTCTATCCTAAACCACTTCACTCTTGAAATGGGTATAAAAAGTTGCTATGAAAAGGCATCCAATATTCCACCCTCCAACCCACTGAAAATTATTTCATCAGTGCAGATGTATACTCCTCAGACTGCTAATAACAAATAGCTCTCAGAGAGTTTATATCTGATGCTTATTTGAACTTTGAGTATCTCAGAGGGGATGGATTCTAATTCCCCTATCAGCTGCTTCAGAAAAGTCTCAAACATATGTTTTCAGCAGTCCCCAGGACATAATTTAGCTTTCAGCAAGTGTTAGATGCTGACTCACAGTTTATGTGCATGCATCCGTTAAAAGATTTTAAATAAAGAACTGTAGCAGGTCTCTGAACAGCATGGTCTCCTACAGTAGCTTCAAATTGCATCTGTTCATTGAAACAACTAAAAAACTTGAATTTGTGTATTAAAAAATTTGGAAACAGAAATCTAGCCTTAACATATTTGAGCTTTACTCACAAGAGTAAAGGTATTTCACGGATAATTTAGAGTTTGGAGAAAGATTTGCTGAAAGTAAACCTAACTTAAACCCCAATCCAATTAATCATGAGATATTGTAGGCAGCTTCTCCAAAATGTCTAGAAAACCCGACTAACTCTATCCCAGACCAAACTAGTACATAGTGCTAAGATGGCTTCAATAAAGACACTTTACTCAAATTTTGCAGAAGACATTTTTGGGCTTGATTTTCCCTCAATGAGTTTTCCCATAGTTATTAAATTGATATATTTTCTTTTGAGTCTCATTTAGATCCTGGACTGGGGCACCATAGAGTAACACCAAAGTCTGAGAAAACAGAGTGTGTTTGTAGACCTAATTCAACAATTTTCAACAGCCTTAAAAAAAACCCAGCCAGACTAATACAAATCCACAATGGAATGAACTAATACAACATGACAAACATCTTGACATCCCTTACCTTCACCCCAAGAGCATTACTGTTATCCACTAAAATGATCACTATGAATCTGTCAAAGTTCAGCTGTGAACAGGAGCACCGGCAGAATAATGAAAATCCAGTGGTTCAAAAAGATCCATTTCTTCCTTTTAGGCACAAAATAAACCTTTGAGAATTCTATCATTGGAGTAAACCAAAACAAAAAGATGTCTATCCTTCCATTACCAATACTTCGGGATTGCAGCAATACAATAATGATTTTGCAGTGACCTGACTACTGTACTTAGACTATCAACATCATAAGAGCTGTGTTAAGTCATCAGCTACCACTGATAAATAAAAGAGGTGCCTACTATACACTAGAAAAGAAAGCTTTGCACTGATGACATGGTTGGTTTCAACTCGTTTTCATGCCAATATTATGTGCTGAACTGCAAAGCTTTATTGTATTTTAAATTGCAACCTAATTTATAAATCTAGTTCCCTTTTACAGGAGCCAATAATTATACCTATTATCATTGGAAAGAATCTATTATCTTGAAAGAAACATGTCTTTTGAAAGGCATATAGCTTCCTCAGTACTAAAACCACCCCAAACCCATCATGCATGGGCAAAATGTTCTGGACAATGATATTTCAGAATTCTAAAAAGTTAGTGCAATTTCAGAATTCACAATCAATCAAAGTTCAAAAAGACACACCCCAGCTCACTCCCATCACCCCTTTTCCAGCAATGAACAGGTCAGTTCTACAAACTACAACAGCTTTTCTGGTTCCTTTAGAAGGTCATCTTTGGAAAAGGTCTTCCAATAAATCCCAAACAAAACTGACCAGAGGCAGGGAAAATTTTCTGCATAAAAGCTCACTGCATTGGTAGGCATTTTTTTCTTCTTTCTAGACCCCCTTCTTCCACATAAGAAGGTCTTGAAAGAAGACCTTTTCTTATCTTCAGTACTTAGAAGAGTGTATGCCCAGAAATAGACAAGTTCAGTTGTGTATAATACACCAAAGTGCACCCACCTACACAGCCTTAATCTAATTCATTGCCCCTACACAAATCTACTTCAAGATATGAGACTTTGGACAGAGCAAAAAGCACCTGACTCAAGAAAAAAGATCCAGGCAGTGTCATTTAACACAATACCAATCAAAGCAAACAGACTTCTAAAATTTACCCAGTAATTTACCCTCCATTGAAGTAATAGTCTTCATCAAGAAGTTTAAAAAGAGGTTTTTCCACCATTCCTTATTAAACACAAGCAAGTGACATTTGTTATCAATATAGAAAAACAAAACCACCAAAAAAATACACTCCTAAAAAATAAAATAGAAAGCTTGTTTTGTTTGTAAGCACATATCACTTGTTCCTCCTCACTGAGGACCTGATCATATAAGTTCTTGATTTTTCACCATCAGGCTGCATAATTGCAAGCTACTATAATAGATATTGAATAAAAAAACAATGCTAAGTTAAGCTGGTATAATACAAAGACATGTAAGCTCCATCCAAGCAACAGAGCAGAACTGGAAATTTTCTGAAAGGCACCTTGCATTTCACAATGTTGGGAAAAAACACCACAGTAAATATGTAATTATTCTTCCAGTTGCCAGACTGTGTCAGTGGATAGGTGTAAGAGCAATTTTTGCATCAACATGTACCAAGTCACTCTGAAACACTCTGTACTGATCTGGGACTCACCCACAATATCCACCACATCGGGACGGATAAGTGGCTCTCCACCTGTCAGTCGGATCTTGTCCACACCTTCTTTCACAAACAGTCTGGCTAAGGTGATTATCTCCTGGGTAGTTAGGAGCTCTGATTTCGGAGTCAGCTGAACACCTTCCTCAGGCATACAGTACTGACCTGAAACAAAGGTTACAGAAATACATGAGGCAAAGAATAACCTGCAACAATTGATCTAACATTGATGGGCAAAATGCACCAAGGGCAGCTGTCTTTAATGGATGCCAAATGACACCAACTGTGCAAAAATTTTACAATCTTCTAACAATTTTCTGGTTTACTGCACAGGAAAATCCAAGACTAATTTGATGTGCCTCAAAATTACAATGGATCCACTCTGAAGAAAAAGATGACCTCACTTCTATCTAAACTGCATTCAAGCAGAGACACCAAGTTCAAGGCACAAGCACTGGGACATCACCAGACTTTGCAGACATAATAGTGGGAATGCTAGATATGAGCTCTCCTGCTTTTGGAGACTTTGGACACACAGGCATCATTATCTAAACCACACCAAGTCTGATAAAAGATCTGTCACTTCCACCTGTCTCTGGTAGATCCCTAGGCTTGCTCCAGGTTTCCCACCCCAACAGTAGCTCTGATCCAATTAGTCTCTATCTGTCATTTATTGTTACTTTGTGAAGACAAGAAACAGCACAGGGCCAACACAGCAATAATACCCTTACCCAAACCTTGGCTTTTGTACAATATGTGCAGGAGTTTTGTGCAAGGAAAGAGCAGACACTTACATCTGAGGTTGCACTTCTCAGTCAACGAAATTCGCAAGTAATTGTGCTGCCGCCCAAAGCTGTCCATCAAAAAAGCAGAGAATGGAGCAGCATGTTCTAGCACAAAGCGTTCCCTTCCTGAGCTTTGTAATTCCTGCAACAAAAACAAGCAAGTGTTAAATATTTGAACAGTTACCCTGTCAACTTGCTGTATAAATATCAACTTTGAACCTAACTGATAATTATTATTCCATTCTTCCCCACACAGACAGCTGCCCAAAAAAAACCACTGTCAAAAGTGGGCATTTATTAAATTTCACACCCCACCTTAATCCATTTCTACAATTTTCCCTGTCTTTACCACAGGAGCTTCAGGCTTTTTGTGCAGAATGGAAAGTGGTTTTGTTCAACTGCCTGTCTCTTCCCAGAATCAATGATCCAGGATCACCAATGCTCACTACAGCCCTTTGGTAAATGAAATTATAGAGAAGAAGCCCTTCCTGCACTTCAGCACAAGACAATCTGAAGGTGATGAAACACTGTATCTCTTTCTGTGTTCCTACCATATCCCATGTGCAATATTAACATGTTTTTAACAGCAAAACTGAATTATTGCTATATACAATTAAGTTTCATGACACCTGTCTTAATTTCCAACGAAGGCTTCCTGCCTAAAACCATGTAACAGAATACCTCCAAAAGGCTTGTCTCAGTTAAGAGATTACATATAATGCAGGACATGGTGGAACTGGAAGAGAAGTGTGTGATTCTGAACACCTGTTCAAACTGAATAAAAAAATATCAGAATTAAAACAATTCCTTTATTAACTGTCATGAAGTGAATATTACAAGTGATTTCTACTTAAAATTTTGGGGTTTTTTTTTAGGCACAATGTAATACATTCTAGAGCAGCATGATTTTTAGGAAGTATGAGTATTTGCCCTCTAGAATGAGAGAGTAAGAAGGATGAGGAGCTGCTGGAGCAAGACCAGCAGAGGTCACAAAGCTGCTCAGATGGCTGGAGCTCCTCTCCTAAGAAAACAGGCTGAGAGAACTGGATCTGTTCAGCCTGAGGAGGAGATAGCTTTGGGGAGACATTATCACTTTCCAGTACCTAAAGGGGACTACAGGAGAGCTGGAGAGGGACATCTTACAAGGGTCTGTAGTGACAGGACAAAGGGGAATGGTTTTAAACTGAAAAAGACTAGATTTAGATATTAGAAAGAAATTCTTCACTGTGAGAGTGGTGAGGCACTGAAGCACTGAAACAGGCTTCCCAGAGAAGTTGTGGATGCCCATCCCTGGAAGTGCTGGATGGGCTTTGAGCAAGCTGGTCTAGTGCAAGGCATCCCATAGGAGAGGGCTGAAACTAGGTGATCTTAAAGGCCCCTTCCAACCCAAACCATTCTAGGCTTTAATGGCCACATTAGGTAACAAATATCCCAAATAGTAGCTGCAAAAAAAATACAATTCAGTTTATACCAAGTAACTTCAAAATATCAGTAGCATCAATGCCAGAAATGTTAATTACAGCAAGGTCTAAATGCAGGGAGTCTTATTGCCTTTAGCCCATGACTTTCCAATTACAATGTTGCAGCTCTCTTTTTCTGCACCTGTAAAGCACAGCTGAGACCACTCCGCTACTTTCAGATAATATTTTGGTACCTTAAGTGAAACTTACAGTAACTGAATAAACTCTTATCACAGTACTGCAGAAAAACAAGAGTTTACCAACATACTTTTATCAGCTGGTGGATACTTGCTTCAGGCACTACATACAAACATCCAAAACCAACTCTGTTAAGTATTTTCATGTACTACATCAGAGTTAAATTAACATTTTATAGGAGGTCAATTTGGTAAGTCATGAATGAGGCCAGCTGCCTAGCATCACTATATAAACCAGAGAAAACAAAATAATTAAGGGAACCACCCTGACTGGGTCCTTGTTGGTTAACCACATACAGACATTTAACAGTCAGTGAATTTCATATCAAGTGAAAAGGCACATGTCAGTGAATTTCACATCTAGTGAAGAAAACGCACATACAAAACCATTTCCTGTATACATGGTGTTCACAAAGTTCGTGCTGGTGTGCAAGTGTGAATCAGCTGCAGCATTGTGCCTCAAGTTAAAATTGTGCTCATTAGTCTCACTAGGCTGCAGCAGGCAAAGGATTAAATAAAGTTTTGACATGAATTTAAGATCCAGAATTAGGAACCAAACAAAATGACACATTAGTAGGTTATTTAAACTGCTTATCTAAGCTAAAGTCATCACTCGCATCCAGTGAAAAATAGACATGAAATCTCCAAACATACCAAAATCAGAATGTATGGGATGATGCCAAGGGACTGGGCAGGAACACACACAGCCACAGCCACCAGTTCCCTGGCCCTGGTTATCACTAGTGACCAAAGGAGCTAGTCCTGCACAGGATTTCCCTACAGCCCTTGCAAGAAATCCAGAAATGGCCAGCTAAAATGGTGAACCACCCAGGTATGCCTCCTCAAAACATTTTATTGTGAAAACATTTGTAAGAAACATTTGTGGGTGAGTGGAAGCCATAGAGGACCCTCAGTGATCAAATCAGCCAGACAGCAAAGGTTATCTGGGGAGAGACCCAACTTCAGCCACCAGCAGCAGGAGCAGCAATTTTGTTTCCAGCTGTGCTAACACCAGGCTCCTGCTAAACTTACAAGCAGGAGTAGTCATTCTTGGCAGCACAATCTTTTCCCTAACCTTTAAACAATCCACTATACTCGATCCAAACAGCTCTGTGGTAAGATAAGATGACCTTACTTTAGGAATTTCCATAGCAGTGAGGAGCTAGAGGAGACAAGGGAGATACAAAGTGGCTGTTTCAAAGCCCAGAAAACATCTGTTTACCCCTGATAAAACTGCAGTAGTAGTTTCCAAGAAATTGCTTTTCTGCTGGAAGAAAGCAATGCCTTTCAGTTTCAGGGGCTGCAACAGCAGAGTCACATGGGGTGCAAGGCCAGCCCTGCCAAGACTTGGCCTTCCCTTCCTGGCAGCATCCCAAGTGCAGCTAGCAACCACTCTGCAGCCACACCCACTGCTCACACATTTCACCTCCCCTTCCTGCATGCAGCGTTCTGAACAAGTCATCTGGTTTTTAAACTCCCTAGGAAAATGCTCCAGCCTAGAGGTGTGTGGGTAGCGGCAGAGCTCTGCACAGCTTTAGGTTACCAAAAAAATCCTAAGTTGGGAATCCCTTGTTTTGATAGAAATGCTGGCTCTGTTCCACTTATTGAAAGTAAGTGTTTCTCCAAATAGAAGCCAGGTTAACTCAAAGAGCCCAGGTACATATCCAGACTTCATTTCTTCATCTTCCTCAGTCAGAAAACTCAACCCTGAACAGACTAAATCTAAGGATATTTTAAATCTGCCAAACTCAGAAAAAACACAACACAAAAAAGTGGTTTTTTTCTTGAAAATTATGCTGCTTTCTGGCCTGGCTGGATATCAGATGTTCTCCTTCTATTATTTTGGAAAGGTATTCACATTTGAGAGGGAAAGCACTCCCAAGTTTATTAAAATTATCTGAGCCACTCTTGTGGGAGCCTTCCTCTCCTGTTTCTTTCCCACCAATGCTTTTTTGCATCTCTTTCAGGATTGGGCTTCCTTACCACTCCACTTGAAGACAGAATAGTACAAACCTCCCACTTCCCAGTTTTAGAGTGTGCATTACAGGCAGGGAAAGAAGGGAAAAGTTGTTCTCCCTGGAAGAAAGGCGGGGCAAATGAGGGGCACTTTATTGCTTTTATGCAATGAAAGACAAAATTGCATACTTTCAAAGACAGTAAAATGCTTAAAATAATTTCCTGTTTTCAGAAAAGAGCCCCCACTGGAGTGGGACACAGGAGACCAGTTCTCTTGCTGGTCTGTCATCCATCTGCATGGCTGCCATAGGTAAGGTAGCTAAGGTAAGAGGAATAACACTGCCCTTCATTAATTCCTCTAAAGTGAACTGTAAAGAAGCAGCATTAAAAGAACAGGCACTCAGCAAAGATTGGTCTCAAGAAACTTAAAAGTTTCTATTGGAAATTAGTAACTCTTGCTGCAAAGTTTTAGTACAGGGGAAAGAAAAATGTTTTACACAGCTACTAGAACTTATTTCCATTATTTTCTTGTTGTGTATAGTAATGGGTTTGTCTAGGAGGGAAGAATGACAGGAGATCGAATTTTTCAGGTATTCAGTTTCTGACCAGTTAGATTTCAGCACAGAGGAATTAGGAGATACCCATAAACCATAATAGCTGATACCCATCAGCCTGAACTCCAGCAGAGGTAGATCCTGTACTACCAAAACTGCTACTGCACCCAGCCCCAGCTCATATTTTTATCAATACCACAGAAAAGGCCAGTTATCAAAGATGAGAACTCAGCTGCCTTCCTGGTAACTCAGGACAAGGATGAAGCATTCCCTGGGGTTGCTGCACAAGTAGGATTCTCCAAAGGGGAAGAATAGGTTGAGGCTGAACCTTGTCACTTGCAGCCTTTGTGAGAGTTATTGGAACAGGAAGAAAGCAAAAGCCTGCCACAGTTCTCAGGCTACAGGAAAAAGGTTATTCAGTTTCCTGGAGTAGGAAAAGGTAGATGGGTGCTGGTATTTTAACATATCAATGCCCAATTAGATAACTTTTTCACTCAAAAGGGATGTCTGTAACACATAAGTCCCCACTCTCCTCTCTCCATAGTTGACAGGAGACACTTCTGCACATGGGAGGTGTATGCCCTGTCACACAGTGCGCTTTATCTGATCCATGAAAAAACCAGGTTCATTCTCTGGGCTGTCAATCACATGCTCTATACTAGTACTGAAAGAATGAGTTTAGATGACTGCACCTAGCAGCTATATTTTGACAAGCTGTCAACCCTTCAGACCTGACAAGTCACCTGTGATTTCCAGGAGAACTATTTTAACAATGCAGCAGAATTGGAAGCTGTCAGCAGAAGTATCAATAACTACCAGGAACACCACAAACTGACAGATGCTAGAAAGGCTCAGTTAAACACAAGGGGGCAGACAACAGAATTCTTACCTACTAATCAAGCTGAAGATCAAGTACTATCCTTGCTCTACTCTTCCACCTTCACTTCATCCCCAGTGATATTTGTGTACTCTAAAGCTTGCAAAGATTTCTGCACAGGCCTCAGGGACTACCACAACCTGCATACCCATGACACTGTTAGTGCTGTTCCTGTACCCACTGGCTCTTCAAGCTCCTGCAATCCTGACAGGTTTGTGCACAGCACTGCTGTCCCAGCATAGCACCTAACACTGCTGCAGTGTCACAGACACAGCTCAGCAAGAGCTCTGCTCTTCCCTGCCTCACCTTTAGCATCTTAGTCTGCAGGCAAGTGGTGACATAATGTCCTTGCTTCAACCTGGAAATCAGACAACCGCAGAGGCTGAAATGGGTCTAAGCAGGCCAAGTGCCAGAATGAGGTCTGAGCTGAGAAGTCCAAGACAAATGTTTTTGTGAGGGCTCAGCAGCTGCTGCCCAACAGCTGACCCCAAACAGCAGGCTCCCCTTGCGGGTACTGGCACGGAGAGCACTGCCCAGGGACTGCCACTGGCTGCCCACAAAACAGAGCAACAGCACACAGAGCATTTCAGACATGACTGGCCGAGAATCAGGGCCATGTGAGGTCCTGAGGGCAAGCTGGACTCTCCACTTTATCCCAGCACTGAAGGCTTCATTGTGGCCACAGAAATTTTCAGGTGGTGATGTCTGGATTACAGGCTCTACAAGAGCAGACGAAGAAACATTAAGTGAAACTTTGTAGCAAGACCCTTACTGGACATGATACATCTAGAGCAGAATTAATAAAAAAAAACATGATTTCCACTTCTGTAGTAGAAATAGGTCATCGTACCTGATCATCTTAGTTCAAGAATAGAATCTGGACATATATTATCATGGGTACAAGATGGTAGGATGGCATCAAACTTCATTAAGTATGAACTAGTCAAGAAAAATCCAAAGAAACACTTGCACACAACAGAACAACTGTGAAAAAGCTTTCAGAGTGCCTGTAGCTTCATGCCCTGTTCTAGTCTTGGAAAATGGAACTCCACTCCGTGCACCCCTCCAAGACTGACAACTGCATCTCAAAAACCAAGATTCAAACAAGTAAATTGCTCACCACACACCACTAGTACAACAGCAGTACTGACCCCACTGTTTGCTACCCAACCAAAAGACTTCGAAGGGATGGTCTTGGACACAGCCTCCCAATTGTCTCCTGAACTGCCTGAGTTCTTCCTTCCATATCTGGAATGACCATTTTAAAGGGGACTGAAATATAGTCTACTGCTCTCTTCTCCCCTTTGCACACACCTCCTCCCCAAAACCTCAGGAAACTAAACAGAACCCATGAATACTTGCAGCTCCAGCACAGGAAACAGTCAAGCAGTATTCACAACTGTTTTGAGTGCTTGAATAGTCTCTCATTTGAAAGCACATTTCACTGTCCCCTATGGCTGTAACACTAATTACTTCTCTCTACAGATGAATCCCAGGAGAAACTGAGAACAGAAAGGAGCAATGAGCGTATTATCACTGTATAGTTGCTAAGTCTGCAGTGCCTTTGTTTTTTACACTAGCTCGCTTCTCAAGCCCTGCAGGACATGAGCCAGTGGCCTGGCACACTTCTAATATTTACTGTACCACAAATGTGTATCCCCCAGCCCATTCTTCCAGGTACCATGGCTTTTTGCCCCTAAGGGACTTTCAGACGGGTGTTGTAATCAAGCTCCCTCAAAACTATTCCTGAACTACCCAATGTAAAGAAAGTAGTGAAAAGTAATTCTGATCCAAATTTATAAAAATGTTTATGGTCTAGGAAAACAACCAAACAAATTCAATAAGCTTTCTAGTTTTCGGAGTCATGTAAGCATTCAATAAAGCAATGCAAGAATCCATTTGGTCTCCTGTAAATAAGTAAGTGTCAGTGAATGCATTCAATTCTGGGGACACGGAGTCTGTCACTAGTAGCTTTAGCTTATTTTCTGTTTGTTGAAGCCAGCCATGCAATTGCAAGTAACTCAATAAATCATGTTCCAGCTGGGACTGCTCTGTGTGCCATGCCCTAGACAGTTACTGAACCTAGCCCTTCCGTGTAGCTTTTTCTTCTCAAAAACAAGAGACACCAAGAGACCGAATCCACCCGAGGGACCAAAAGTTAAACCGGGAGAAGCTGTACCAGGGCAACTCCTGAGGTGACTTCACGCCAGGACCAGCACAAACAGGTTCAGTGCGAAGTTCGCCTGACCATTGGAGCACAACCACCCAAAGCTGCCAAACCACTCGGGTTTTAACCCAGGCTGATCAAAGAGTGTTGTGTAATCTCTCCTTTGGCTGGGCAGGAGCACAGGACCAGCTCGGTCCATCAGACGGGTGTCCCACATACTTCCAGAGTAAGGGTGACATTTCAACAAACGAAGCATACACAGCATTATGTATTACTACACGTTTTGTTGACTCTTCCCTCCCCCCTATACACAATCAGGTCATGTTCCCCGCACAAACCACCGGTCGGTCCGGGATATGTTGCAAAATTCTATGGACAGGCTGCATTTCCCGGGAACGGGCCGGCAGCCTCCGCCCGCGGCGCCCAAGACCCCTGCCCACCCCGCCGGGCGCTGCCACGGTCACCGGAGCGCCCCTCCACGAAACACATCCTCCCAGGGACGAGGCACCGGCCCGCCACTCAAACTCCCAAACGCGACCCCCGGTGGCACGGCACGGCACGGCGCGGCTCGGCACGGTTCACCTCCCCCTCGCCCCCCGCCCGCACCGCGGTCCCGCCGGACCCCGGGCCCGCCTCACCTGCGCGGCGGCCGAGGCGGCCCTGGCGCGCGCCCCGCTGCTGCTGCAGGCGCGGCGCGAGGCCGCCCCGCGCGCCCCCCGCAGGAGCCACCGCCACCCCGCCGCCGCCGCCGCCGCCGCCGCCGCCATGCGGCTCCACTGCCCCAGGGCGCGGGGGGCGCCGCCGCCGCCAGCCCCGCGCCGTCACGCGGGGAGGGCGGGCGGGGGGAGGCAGCCAATCGGAGCGGCGGCCGGCGGCCCGTGCCGTGCTGCACGCCGGGAGTTGTAGTTCGTTCCCCTCATCAGGCGAGCTGGCCGAGGGAAGGGGGGAGGTTTCCCTCAAGGTCCCTCGACACCGCTCTGTGCTCCCGGGGCAGCGGTACCGGGCAATTCACAGAATCACGGAATATCCTAAGTTGAAAGCGACCCACAAGGATCATCGAGTCCAGTTGTTAGCCTTGCATAGGATCACGCCCAATAGTCACCCCATGTGCCCAAGAGTATTGCCTCTAGAACGCAGACAGGCTTGGTGCCATGACCACCTCCCTGGCGAGCCTGTTCCAGGGCCCAAACACCCTGGAAGAACCTTTTCCTAATATCCAGCCTAAACCTCCCCTGACACAGTTTAATGCCATTCTCTCAAGGTCTGTCACTGGTCATTGGAGAAGAGATCAGTGTCTGCCTGGCTTCCCTGCCTCCCCTCTTGGGGAAGGTGATGTCTCCCCTCAGTGTCCTCCAGGCTGATCGGAGCAAGTGGCCTCAGCCACTTGTCATATGGTTTCCCGTCAAAGGCCTGTCACCATCTGTGGTGGTTTCACTTCCCCAAATTCCTCCAGGAGTGCAAAACCAGGACACCATCTCTGTTGGTGACCCAAGTCCCATGTCCCTCAGCAGCAAGGGCAAAACCTGCGCTGTCAGCCTTTGCTCTCTGCCTTTCCCCACCCTCACCTCAGCCCTCCAAAAGCCAGGTGTGGAGCCTAAGCTCTGACTGCTGGCTGCCATCAAGGGAAACACATGCATTGAGGGGCATGCATGTGAGACAGGTATCCCAGCAAGGCTGCCAGAGGGCGGAAATCATGAATATCATTAGCTGGGGAACACCTGTGGTGAAAACAACTCCTCTAGTCAGCACCAGTCTCAAGTGAATTCTGTACAACCTTGTCAGAAGATAGGCACAGTGACTAAATGAAACATAATGGATCTTACGGAGCCCAAGAAAGCAATATTTCAGTTTTCTTGCCTTATGTAGTTTTCTCCATGCTCCCAGTGTTTCACAGACAAGGGGCTCATGATGAAAAGTCCAGTACCCTGATGTCCATCTCCAGATGAGGGTCTGCAATGGTTGTCCATTGCCAAGCTGAGCCAGAGCCACCTGTTCTGAACATACTTTACACCTGAAAGGAGTGGTTGGCAGGGTGCCCAAATTTTCCCTGGATCACCTTCCCTGAATCATGTCAGCTATTCTTCCAAAAGACATGTGATCCCCTGAATGACTTTTATTGCACTCAGACTTGGAACTGTGCAGCTGTTAAGTGTTAAACTCACAATTCTGCACATCATGCTACTGCATGATCACACTTCCATTCTAAAAGAATTTTGTTTTCCATTACAAAATTGCTGTGTCAGTGGTATTTAATTTGCAGCTACCGATTAAAAACACATTAGCAATTCTCTGCACAGTCTTAATCCTTTAGTGTTTGACCTGTGCATTACTTGTTGATGTTTGAATAACTATTGCTTGTGTCAGCCACTATTTCCAGACAAAATTATGTGTGCTGGTACAGGTTCAATTGTTTAGTCAGGTTATACTTAAATCTTTGCTGTGTAGCAAAACCCCTTCTGCTGTCCAATTCACTCTAGACTTTAAACTTTATTCAGTATTTAGACTGGTTACAGACTAACAGGAAAACTAATACCGTATCGCTATTTTTTCCTCCCCAAAGCTTAAACCATTTGAAAAGAAATACAGACTTGACTGATCTGCAATGTGGCTAAATATCCAGTCTGAAGCGATGTCCACCAGTGTGATGTCAAGGTAACACATGCACAGACCAAAACAGTAGACAAAATTTTGTTCAAATTACAATTTTCAAAAGGTGCAGAAAAAAGTTTGATGTTGACATTTACAGTAGCTTTATGAAGCGTCACTTCTCCCTGTAGAACTAGGATAACTGTAATTAAAGGATTTTCTGGATTTATTTGAAGAGCAAGTGATAATGACAGTTGAAATACAGAAGGCGCTTTAGCTTCATATTAAATGTAATAATTGTTCAATTCAGTGAACTTCTCAGTTGCAAAAGAGGTTTAATTAGATGTGCAATCAGTAAAGATGAAAATTTGTTATAAACTCATCAAGAGAAAAAAAATATTGCTGGCTTCATCAGAATCTGCAGTCTAGTTGAATATGCTGGTGCTCAGCATATCTGAAAAGTTAAAAAATTAATTGTCTTTGCATACTTGAAGCCTTATATTTTTTTCAGTTTTCAGGTTGTACAAATATAGGCATGTTTCATTAAACCAGCATAAAATTAGCTTTTATACCTCCGAAGGCAAACTTTTGCGCTCAGGAATATCTACTGCTGGTTTTCAGAAACACTTGTCCAGCATTAAATGAAGCCATGAAATAAGTGTAATGAAATAAGTGTAATGAAATAAGAGCATCTGCATAAGAGATGATTTCATTTCATTTCACTGGGGCACTGTCATGTCATGTCATGTCATGTCATGTCATGTCATGTCATGTCATGTCATGTTGTGTCATGCCATGTCACAGTCACGAAGAGTAAGCACCAGAGACAGCAGCTGGAGGTTTGATTTCTTTGCTTTTTTCAGCAGCTACCCAAAGGACTGGTAGTCAGAAAATAATGAAGGGTTTGAGGTTTGTGTATTTACTCCAAGATGCTGTGTGGTGTCATACCCTTGTGCTGTAACCAAAGCTGGGTGTGACATTCTATCCTGGCAAGATAAGGCCTATCTGCTTCTACCTGCAGGGCCCACTCTAGTGAGGCTCGACACATTTAGGCAAAGCAAACTTTTGCCTCTGGTGTTTCAGTTGTCTTCTGGGCATCATGAAGACATTCACTTGTCTTTGACACAAGGTATTTATTTAGTCCAAATTTCAAAGAAAGACATTTCCTGCTCTTCCTGCTGCTGCCTTCCTTTCTGACTTCCAGGGGTCCTAGATTAACCCTGTCTTATTTACCTGCTTATTTGTTTCAAGATTTTGCTGAATTCACACTTAATACCTTAGGGGTGGGTTTCTCTTGGCACTCCTACACATCCAGGGATTAGCTAACTTTCCCCAAAAGGCTCTGCACTGTGCTGTTTGTAAAGGTCTGTGTGCCTGCCAAGGGGTGTTAAACTCTCATGGGCAATTAAAGGGCAGAGTCCTGTCCATATCCTCTGGGAGTGTATACCAAAACAATATAAAAATGCGAAGTACTGGACTACTTCCAGTGTTATTCATGCTTCAAATAAGCACTGAACAAAGTTTTAGAGATATGTTACTAATAAAATAATAATGACTTAAAAGTCTCAAGAGAGAGTTCAAGCTGTGAGCTGGATGCATCTGCCACGCTGAATAACAACTGCCTCATTGTAGAGACAAGACATCCATCAAGAGTTACTCAACACCTTTCTGAAACTTTGGGCCACATGCCTGAACAGAAACTGGGGCAAAGTGGAAGACCTGATCCTGTCCTCACGTGGAGCTGGAACACAGTCAGGACTCGTGCTGAGACTGCTGTTAGGAAAGACTGCATGGCTGTAAGCCAAGGGAAAGCCTCTGTATCCAGCTTCCTGCAAACTGAGCATGAAATAACAAAACTTGCAACACAAATTCCCTGCTTTGTCTATCTCTTGCAAGAGCAGAACAACAGAACATATCCTTCTTCACATTTGTTACTTGTGAACAGCACAGGCCCTTCTTAAATGAAACTACTACAAAGAGATTCACTGTCAAACTTCAGGGCACGTGTGAGGTACAAATGACTACCTTGGAATGTCTCACTGTTGCTCAGGATCATCATGGCATTTTACAGTTCAAAGCACACCACTGCATCATTCTTGTCTATGCTTAGAAATCCTAGGGAGCTGATACAGCAGAGGCTTCTGTTTGCTTTCCTCATTACATGCAAAGAGGAGCGAGAGCCTTCCTAGTGTTTCCTCCTGGTAGCTGATACAAAATAACATCTGCAGTTCTCTAGAACATGCTGCTTCCATGGAATTAAAAAGCATGTGTTGCAAAGCACACAGACTTACAAACAGGGATTTGGTAAATACCACTGCCAAGGCTGCCACAAAAGCAGATGCACTCACACAGATGCAGAAGAAATCAGAACAAATTGGTCTGAAAACAATTTGTATGGAACCAGCCATGCTGGTTAGCAAATATGTGTCAATGATGTCTTCACCTTTTCCTCCTTACCTTCCATGTGCTGGAGAAACCCTCTCTTCCCTCAGCTTATTACCCTCCTCCTTTTCTGCATTTCCTTTGATATCATTAATCTTTTCTGCTCACAATCATGAGAAAAGAAAAACTGGAAATTTAATATTGCTAAACCTAGTGTTGAAATTGTTTGCATTCTCTGTTTGAGCAGTATCTAGTGGTGTCCAGAGTAAAAGTGTGTATAATACTGAGAAATCCAACTGATCCTACACATTAAAGCAAAGAATATGTTTACTCTTCCATGCTTTTGCAAAGGCACACAACAAGAGGATTAAGGGAATTAAGAAATGTGTAAAAAGCAGAGGTTGATATAATTAGAAAAGGGGAAAAAAGGAAGGAAGAAAAGAAGAGCAAAAAGGGAGAAAAGGAAAGAGGAAGAGAGAGGAAGGAAGGGAGGAAGAGAGGGAAAGATTTTTGAGAGAGAGAGAGGGATGGAGGGAGAGGGAGGGAAAGGGAGAGAGAGAGGGAGGAAGGAAAGGATTTTCATGTGAGTTTGACCTTATCATTTATGCATGACCATACCCTTCTCTCTTGGCTTCCTTCCTTTACATGAAATATCAACATCTCACCTTCATTATTACACAATTTAGCACTTTGTTTTCTTTCTTTTTTTTTTTTTTTTTTTAAATCTGGGGGTTGTGCGCAGGACATCTACAAAACTTCTGTTTATCTGGAGCAGGATT